AAGGCAGAGTCGCCTACTATGGACACAAGAAGGAAGCCCGACAGGAGAATCCTGGGCAGAAAAGCACCATCAGTTTTAACGCCGCTGCTCTGGCCCTGGGAACTAACAACCTGGACTTCCACTCAAGAGACCTAATCTGAAAGTTGGTAATTTCAAAGACGACTGGAGGATAAATTTACAATGACGGGAAGAAACCAGCGTAAAAAAGCTGAGAATACTCAAAATCAGAACGCCTCTCCCTCTCAAGATGATCACAGTTCCACATCGACAATGGAACAAGGCTTGATGGAGAACGAGCGCCTCCTGATGACAGAATCACTCTTCAAGGAATGGATAATAACAAACTTCAGTGAGTTAAAAGAACATGTTGTAGCCCAACGTAAAGAAACTAGGAACTTTGAAAAAAGGTTTGATGAAATCCTATTGAGAATAGACAACTTAGAGAGGAGTATGAGTGAATTAATGGAACTGAAGAATACAATACAGGAACTCCGAGAAGTATGCACAGGTTTAAACACTCGAATTGTTCAAGCAGAAGAAGGGATATCAGAGGTCAAAGTCCAACTGAATGAAATAAAACGTGAAGAAAAGATTAGAGAAAAAAGGATAAAAAGGAATGAGCAAAGTCTCCAAGAAATGTGGGACTATGTGAAAAGACCAAGTTTACGTCTGATAGGTGTACCTGAATGCGACGGAGAGAATGAATCCAAGCTGGAAAATACCCTTCAGGATATTATTCAGGAAAATTTTCCTAAACTAGCAAAGCAGGTCCACATTCAACCCCAGGTAATACAGAGAACACCACAAAGATATTCCTCAAGAAGAGCAACCCTAAGGCACATAATCGTTAGATTCACCAGGGTTGAAACGAAGGAGAGGATACTAAGGGCAGCCAGAGAGAAAGGTCAGATTACCCACAAAGGCAAGCCTATCAGACTTACAGCAGATCTCTCGGCAGAAACTCTACAGGCCAGAAGAGAGTGGGGGCCAATATTCAACATCCTCAAAGAACAGAACCTTCAGCCCAGAATTTCATATCCAGCCAAACTAAGCTTCACAACTGAAGGAAAAATAAAATCTTTTATGAACAAGCAAGAACTCAGAGATTTTATTACCACCAGGCCTGCTTTACAAGAGCTTCTGAAAGAAGCATTACACACAGAAAGAAACAACCAGTATTAGCCTTTCTAAAAATACACCAAAAAGTAAAGAGCACCAACATAAAGAAGAATTTACACCAACAAATGGATAAAACAGCCAGTCAACATCAAATGGCAGTAACCCTAAATTTAAATTGACTAAATTCCCAATCAAAAGACAGCCAAAACCCAACGGCATGTTACATCCAGACCTGTTTCACATGCAAGGATACACAAAGACTCAAAACAAAGGGATGGAGAAAGATTTACCAACCAAATGGAGAGCAAAAATAAATAATAAATAAATAAAAAGCAGGAGTTGCAATTCTCATATCGGATAAAATAGATTTTAAAGCAACAAAGATACAGTGGTAAAAGGATCAATGCAACAACAAGAGCTAACGATCCTAACACCCAGATAGGAGACCTAGATTCAATGAGACAGAAAATTAATAAGGATATCAAGGACTCGAACTCAGATCCAGAACAAGTAAACTTAATAAATATTTATAGAGCTCTCCACTTCAAATACACAAAATATACATTCTTGTCAATACCACATCACACCTACCCATAAGTTTAAATGAAACATTGATTGGCCATTATTAATACCCAATTTTTTCAAAATAAAGCAATATTTTCATTTACTCTCCCTCTTTCTCTTCCTTTCTTCCTATCCTTTACTTATAAAAAAAAAAAAAAATATATATATATATATATAAAATTAGCTGGGCATGGTGGTGCACGCCTGTAATCCCAGCTACTCAGGAGGCTGAGGCAGGAGAAGTGCCTGAACCCAGGAGGTGGAGGTTGCAGTGAGCTGAGATAGCGCCATTGCACTCCAGCCTGGGTGACAGAGCAGGACTCTGTCCCCGCCCCCAAAAAAGGTTAAGTAGAAAATTGTACCTATTCAAATTTGCATTTTCTAACTGTTATTGTAATTTTTAATATAAAGCAGGTATTTTTAGTGACTGCTTTTTACAAATAGTTATTATTACTCAAAAGCATACCTAAAGTATCTTAGGAACAAGATATTTATATTTGTGTGTGTGTGTATATACACACACATGTATGTACACACACAGAGACACATGTATACATGTATTATATACATGTATATTGCATTGTGTCAAATGCTGGGGCCAATGTAAAGATGAATAAGGATTGGTATTGAAAGATGACATGCTAGGATTAGTAATATACTACTAATGTATGTTTGCTTGGATTAGCAGTATGTGGTAGGGAAGGGATGTATTTGCATACTACTAATCCAAATGAGTGAACAGACAGCTGCTAAATGTGGCCTAAGAATAGAACTAGTTAAATTTCAAGTTCCAATTGGAATATAAAGATTAATGTATGGCATTTTAAACTTTTATTTTCAATGATAGTGTATTTTGATAAGTTTATTTAAAACCAACATCCAAATACAGTTCTACATGTTGACAGTTCACCAAGAATAAACTTTCCTGTTGGTCATTATTTTTCTTTAGGTAGTTGCAGTATCATCATGTAACATCATGTGATGACCCAAAATCCTGACCTAAAATAATTCCTCTAATATTCAGTACCAACTATGACAACCTCATTGCTTCCCGTTTTTTCCTACTTCTTTCTGCATTTGTTGATAGAGAAGGTTTTTTTCCCCATGAGTTATGTTTGTGACACACTCTTGTAATGCAGTTTACATAATACGATACATATTACTGCGTAATGCATTTACATATGTGTATCAAACCCAAAGCTAAAGGCTGGGTAAAAGATACGGCCAAATCAAATTAAAGGGCCAAGTCAGAAAGTGAATAGGCTGGCAGCTAGCTAAGAACTGATCATGTGGAAGAAGAGACAGCTGCACCAAGAATAGGCCCACAGCAGTCTTTCAAATTTTAGGAAAGGGTCCAACTAGGGCAGCTAATGTGATAAAGTCCAAGAACGAAGAAGGATAGCTGAGGATATGTATATGCCAAGAAGTCATGGAATGGGAACTCCACTAACTGAATACAACACTGTTACAGAACAAGGATTAGCTATAGTTACATCAGAGGTGAAGTGTTAGGTGCATTAGGCACCCCATATATCCCTAACGGGACAGTGACAAGAGGAGTCATTTGCAGCTAACTTTATGCCATCTTAATCCTTATGTGGTAGTCTTCATAATACATACAGAACCACAGTCGATTCTGATCTTATAAGCATGGCTTATGAAATGTGGTTTTTTTTTTAAATGATAAAACAAAAATTTCTATGGAAAGACTAGATATATAGCACATAAAACCTTAGTATTATAGGTTGACCAGAATGATTTTTCAAATTTACCTAGATTATAACCTACTTTGGCCTGTTTTTAAATACATATGTAAGTGGTTTGCTTTTGTGGACTATGAAATGCTGACGTCTCAGCAGATGGATGCTGCAAGTTTCCAAATCTTGATATAGTCTAAAATAAAATTAAATGATCTTACATGGGTGGGATTTGGCAGTTCTTTTAAATTCTTTACTAAAAAATATTTCTACGAATTGTGTTAGATAGATGTCTTTACCCTCCATTCTCTTACCTCACAAAAAATCATTCTGACACCATGCTTCTCTTAAATGGGAAAAAAAGGTCCACAAAAGCAGTCTGAGCAAACTGTAACTTGATTTAAATATTTTGCACTCTTCAACTGTACTTTCCTATGGAGATCTTCTAGCCTTCTTTACTAGAGGAATTTCTATTTTAGTTCTGAGTTTCAGTCTGAATCATCTATTCCCTATTAGTTTCCAGGATGATTGCTGATGTTCCTAGATCAATGCCAAGGCACAAACCTCATCTCTCACAGTAAATATTTTGAAAGAAATAAAAATCTGCAAAGGTTTGTTTGATTGGAATGAACTTTCTTCATACTAGAAAGCCAGTAATTACTGAAAGCCAGTAATTATTAAATCATACTTTATCCTATATTTGAAAATGGATAACACAATAATATCTCCCACTTCCATCATGAACTATAAAGAAACAGCTATCCCTGCTACATCAGAATGAAAACTTTAACATTCTTTTGGCTTTTCAAACACATTAGCTCATTATTTTAATAAAACGCATTAACAGATGGTAGACAGAATGTGGTCACATCTGGGACATATAAAATGCCATTCCACATCTCCATGGGAGGGAAATAGCAATATTGTTTAGTTTTCCTCAAAAGTCTTTCTAACTAGCTCATCTCATTCAACTTGTTTAATTCCTTTAAGTCGAACAGTTAGCAAATAAAAGTAGCACCAATTATTTCGGTTGTTTTGGGAATAGAAAAAGGAATTAAAGTGTCAAGGGAAGCATCACAAACAGAAATGCACTATGCTGAAATACAAATAAAACTTCACAAGAGCTTGTGGCTAGAGGTATATTTTTTCAGCTGAAGAGGTCGTAAATCTCGAGTTGCCTGCTTCCTGGAGCCACCTTGAATTATAGGTCTCTCCAGGCCTTTCTACAATGTCCCCATTTAACTCCGCTCTTTCAAAGAAAATTCAACACTTCTAAAAGACGGCAAAGAAAGATTTTTGGTAGAGGATATATTTCAACAATCATATCTATATATAGTGGTTAAATCCCAATCTTCTAGCTTATTTTTTACTTTCATTTTATTCTCTAAAAGTAAGTTTTCTAAGAAGATAAAACCAACACCTGCTAGTTTCCTATTAATGGATCAGCTTCTTGAAAATCATCTTGGCCAGGTGTGGTGGCTCACACCTGTAATCCCAGCATTTTGGGAGGCTGAGGTGGGTGAAACACTGAGGTCAGGATTTTGAAACCAGCCTGGCCAACATGGTGAAACCCCACCTCTACTGAAAATATAAAAACTATCCAGGTGTGGTGACACTTACCTGTAATCTCAGTTACTCAGGAGTCTGAGAAAGCAGAATTGCTTGAACTGGGGAGGCAGAGATTGTAGTGAGCCGAGATCATGCCATTGCACTTCAGCCTGGGCGAAAAGAGCAAAACTTCTGAAAAAAATATTGCATTGAGAATTGGAATAAATAATAATGTTGAAAGGAAACTCCAGAGATGTTTGACTCATATACCACTTGCTAGAAAGAAGAAGGATACTGCAGTTGTGTACGCAGCACAGTGGCAAAGCAGATGTGGCAGAATGGAATGTATCCTGCACTTGGAGTCAAATGACCAAGGTCTGAGCCTCAGCTCTGCCACTTTCTAACTCAATGTTTGGGAGAGTTATTGAACTGGAGAAGTCACATTTCCCTCCTCCATAAAATCTGGCCTGTGCTGCATCCCAGGCTGCACAACGGTTCAAAGACCTAAGAGGGAACAGTGGGGGATAAAGAAAGACATACAGACAGACATAGATAAAGCTGAGCCAGGCGGTCCGAAAAGCTGATGGTGTCAGTCTCTTCGGCCCCGACCCGCCTCAGAGTACCTTATTTTATATGTTTGCAAAGCACATAGCAGAGGGAGGGTGCAGTTACTTAGAACAGCCTGTGGTATAATTCTCACAGTTTAGTTAACATATTTCAGCTAACAACTATCTTGCAGCAAGGTCAGTGAGAGCTGGTTATCTTTTTCTAGGCCTCTCTGCTCTTCTCTGAGGCACACACATTCCCCTATTATGGTTTCTCTTCTCTGGAGTTCACCCAAAGTTTACAGCAGCCTTGCTGCTGATTCCCCCAGAGGGGGTGGGCTATTCTGGCTCTCTACAAAAAGTAGGAATAATACTTTGGAAAATTGTTCTGAAAAATTCAGTGAAATAACGGATCTAAAGGTGCTCCATAAACTGTGATGCATACATAGCTTAGCATTAACAGGTGATTGGTGGCCTGCAGTCTTCATCTCAGAAGAGCAGATAACCATTAAATACTCGGAGCATGGCTGAAAAGAAATTTATATGATAGATATAGAATAGGAAAGTGTGAATTTCCATTTAAGACACACTGCCTAAATAGAGAAAGCCTCTGGAGAGACTAAATACACTTTCACAGAAACTTCTTCTGTTAAGTAATGAAAATGAAGTAAACCAAGCCCATATGTGCTATTCTATTTCATATACACACTAGAGTCAAAGAATCCCCAGTCTTTTATTCTCTTAATACCTATTTGTTGAGCATCTGCTAAGTGCTAGCACTGTGCTAGTCTCTGGTTATCTGCGGTGAACAAGATTTCTGCTTTCAAGGAACTCATATCCTAGTTATATTAATGTTTTTATTCCAAGTACTTAATAAAGTGCTTGGCACATACTAGATGCTCAATAAAAGTTGGTTGAGCTGAGCTAGTTTAATTTTGTAGCCTGACTATAGAAGAATGCCAGTAAAGAGGTAATTTTTTTTATATACAAAGCACATACTAGATGCTCAATAAAAGTTGGTTGACCTGAACTAGTTTAATTTTGCAGCCTAACTATAGAAGAATGCCAGTAAAGAGGTAAATTTATTTTGATGCGAAGCACATACTAGATGCTCAATAAAAGTTGGTTGACCTGAACTAGTTTAATTTTGCAGCCTAACTATAGAAGAATGCCAGTAAAGAGGTAAATTTATTTTGATACGAAGCACATACTAGATGCTCAATAAAAGTTGGTTGACCTGAACTAGTTTAATTTTGCAGCCTAACTATAGAAGAATGCCAGTAAAGAGGTAAATTTATTTTGATACGAAGCACATACTAGATGCTCAATAAAAGTTGGTTGACCTGAATTAGTTTATTTTGTAGCCTGACTATAGAAGAATGCCAGTAAAGAGGTAAATTTATTTTGATACAAAGCACATACTAGATGCTCAATAAAAGTTGGTTGACCTGAACTAGTTTAATTTTGTTGTCTGACTATAGAAGAATACCAGTAAAGAGGTAATTTTTTTTTTTATACGAAGTCTCACTCTGTCACCCAGGCTGGAGTGCAGTGGTGTGATCTCAGCTCACTGCAACCTCCATCTCCCAGGTTCAGGCAATTCTCCTGCCTCAGCCTACGGAGTAGCTGAGATTACAGGCGTGTGCCACCACGCCTGGCTAATTTTTGTATTTTTAGTAGAGATGGGGTTTTACCATGTTAGCCAGGTTGGTCTCCAACTTCTGACCTCAGGTGATCCACCTGCCTTGGCCTCCCAAAGAGCTTGGATTACAGGCGTGAGCCACTATGCCTGGCCAAGAGGTAATTTTTGTAATCACTTAGAAATACCCACCCAATTCACCATGTAATTAACCTGATACTACTTCGAAAGTGTTAAAGGAAGAGATTTATTTTCAAACTAGAATCCATCTAGTCATCACCCATAATATACTTCTATTATGTAGTGTTAACTTAATGTTCTTCTACTTAAAATACAAATATCACTTCCAGTTAGTACATTTAACATGCATATACAGTGTTACTAGAAAATGTATTTTAGAATGATATCCATTATGTTAGGTCAAAACATTTGCAAAAAGAATGTGGTCTGGATTTGTGAATCCCTACTATATATTTACTACGGAGTTTACATCAATATAATACACAATTAAAACAACAGGGAAGAAAATGGAAAGTCCACTCTATTTACATGACAGCCAACTCTTAACAAGTAAGAGTTTACTTTTGAAAGCATAACTTTCTTGGAGTCACTCAAGAGAACTAGTGTTACAGAATAAAACCTCTTAGAGTTTTCCCATAGCATCTATGAACTGAGTGATGAGGTCAGGGTGGCTGACATCAGTATTGTTCAAAAATATCCTCACTTCTCCTGAACTCAGTTCAAGGACTCAGTCCCCTTGCAGATGTGTGGGGCTGTACAACTAGTTCTGGGCAAGGAAATGTGATCAGTGCTCTGTTTCCCTTCCTAGCTAAGGCTATGAAAAATCCACGGGGATTCTTTAGTTATTTTCTTCCTTTGCCACAGAGAGTAAGTTTCTGTGTTCCAGTGTGATTACAGCTACAGGATGGTGGAGTCTCTATCAATCTGGTTCCTGGAGTGACTGGAACAGAGTGAGTTGGATCCACAGGAAGCATGAAGCATAACCAAGCAATAAACTTTTGTTGTGTTAAGGCATGTAGATTTTGGAGATGTTTGTTACTGTACCATAACATAAGCTTTCCTGATTAATATAGTCAGGGGAGATCCAGTGCCAAGTTTCTGAGTAAGAGATAAAATAGATTAAATGAGTTCGATTAATTTGTCAGTAGTGTTTTTTATATTAAGGATGTTAGCCTGAGGTCTAGCTTTTTAATCACATTTAATCCAGATATCCCATAAGTTTTCCATTTTTCCAGTAATTCTCCTGTGAGTCTTTTTTAAGCACTATATTTAACTTTTATCCAAAAGTTCCTGCGCTTTCTACAAATGATCACTTTTCTCAACATCAATTGAATTGCTTAATCTAACCACACATGATTTTCAAAAGCAATTTAATTAGAGCAAAAGTTCTAAATTATGACCATCCTGTCTTCTTTTAATCGAACTACACATGCAATCGTCATGAAGGAAGAAGGAAGAAGGAAGGTGCGTCTGCAACTGCACTGTCTCTAGAATCTGGACTTTTCACAAGAAGGGAGAAGCAGAGCCTCCCTTATTGCTTTGATCTTGTTTTTTGTTTTGAGACAGAGTCTCCTTGTGATGCCCAGGCTGGAGTGCAATGGCGTGATCTCTGCTTACCGCAACCTCCGTTTCCCGGGTTCAAGTGGTTCTCCTATCTCAGCCTTTCGAGTAGTTGGGACTACAGGCGCCCGCCACCACGCCCGGCTAACTTTTTTGTATTTTTAGTAGAGACGGGGTTTCACCATATTAGCCAGGCTGGTCTCAAACTCCTGACCTAAAGTGATCCACTAGCCTCCGCCTCCCAAAGTGCTGGGATTACAGGCTTGAGCCACTGTTCCTGACCTTTTTTTGTTCCACATTAGAGGAAGAGTTTAACCTTAAAGGGCTTGTAGAGTCAGATAATTGTCATTTGTTACTTAAAGTTATAGATAGTAAGCAAAGTTTTCAAGCCACTGAAAAAGAAAAATGCCTTGCCCTTGTTTACTTTATGGATTGTTACATACATAATGCGCTGTATTTAACCCCTGTCCTCTTTCTTTCTACCCATCCAAGGCGTCAAAGACCATCTTAAATTCTGGCTCCTCAGGAAAGCGTCCCCAAACGCACCAGCTGGAATTGATACTTTTCTTTTCCAAATTCCTATGTAAATTCATATCATTTATTTGGAATTGCTTACAGAGAGTTTTAGAGCGTTAAAGAATTGCAAATGACCTAGGATTCAATACAACTCTCACATTTCGCAGAGGAAGAAAATGAAGTACAGAGTTATACAATCTACATATGTCACCGAGTTAGACACACATTGGAGGCTATGAACCTAGTTTGCCCAATTCCCACTGCAGTCCATTGGTTTATGCCTCAAGTGCCTTCAGATTTACGGTCTGGTATTGTTGGTTATCTTCTAAAGAGAACATGAGTGACAGCTCAACAATAGCACATCTTGAGATGAGGGAACTTTCTTTTTTACTTCTTCAGCTCATAATTTATATGCATTAAATGTCGAATAATTTACTGGATGCTAGCTGACTGTATTTTAGGCAATGATTATATCTATTAATCTTTCCTTCGCAAATCCTCAAATTCAGAAGATAATACTGGAAGGGGCCGAGGAGGTAGGAATAAAGCAACAGCAAGGTAAATAGTAAGAGCTGTTGACCACAAGCAGAATGTTAAGCTAAGTTTAGAGTGGAAGGTCATTTTCCCTGGAGTAATTACACCTTGCAGTTTTGTCCTGCAAGGATGAAAAGTGTGTGTTTGCTGTATGAGGGTGGAAGGGTGCTGAAGTTCATGGGAAGTTCTGCAGACCAAAACCTCACGTGAATTTCCGCCGCGTGGGATGGGTTTAAGAGGACGAACTCACGAGAAAGAAGTCTCAGACCAAACCCCAGAACCCGGCCAGGAAGGCGTACTGGGTGGGCCGAAGCCAGGGCAGAAGAGACCAAGCAGAACGTTGACCACGACGAAGTGGCGGCGCCGTCTTCCCGGCATAGCCTGGGGGCTGCGTCGGGCAGCGGTGGGCGCCCGGGGGGCGTGGTCGGCCGGCTCGGGGCGGGGCGGCGGCTCGGGTTCCTCAGGCCAACACGCGGCGGCGCACCCTCCCTCACGCCGCGGGCCTGCCCGCGCCGTGCACGTTCTCGTCCCGCGCCTCCGCCCCTCGCTCGCTCGCTCCTTCCCGCCCTCCCCGCAGCGCCGGCCGAGCCGGCTTCCCCTCAGTCTCTCATGAATATTGAGCGGCCCCTGTTGTATTTCCCGAGCTCCATTGCGGAAGCCGAGGCTCGCCATATTGTGCGGCGGCGCCGGCGGCCGCGGCGGCTGGTACCCGGGTCTTGCTCCGGCCGCGGCCAGCGGAGCCCCTGCCTGGGGCAGGAGCCAGTGAGTGGGGCGGGCGGGGAGGCGAAGGGCGCGGGAGCGGCAGTCCGGGACGCGCGTCCGCTCGGCCGGGTTGCAGGCGGGTGACGGGGGGCCGCGCAGTCGAGGGGGGAGTGTGTGTCCGTCCGCGGGGGTGTGAGGGGACATGGCGCCGCCGCCGCCCCCGGCCGCTCTCGGGGCGGGGACGGCGCGGGAGACGGCTTTTCATTGTTCCTCTGTCTTCGAGGGTGGTGGGAGGGAAGGTTTGCTGGGGACCGGGTCGGCCAGACGCCGGGATTCCTTCCTTCGCCGCGAACCTCTCGCTGTGCTTTCCTCTGCGCGGAGGCCGGAGCTGCGGCGTGGCCTCCGGGGGGCGTGGGCCCCAGCCTCTCTGCCGCCCTGCTCAGGAGGCGGACGGAGTGGAATGCGGGTTTTTTCTCTGGGCTTCTCCCTCGCTGCCAGGGATGTGTGTCTGCACCGTGGGGGTGGGGTAGGGACACTGTGCAGATACCGCTCCTTTCTCCGGAGGGGTTGGAGTCTGGGTTCGCATGTAGAGGAGCTGCTCGGCGTCGGGGTTCCTCGTAAGCTCTGGGGAGACCCCTTCTGCTTCAGACATTCCTGGAGTGCCGCCTCCAGCTCCGGAGTATCTGTTGCTGCTTTCTAAAGCCGCGAGCGTACCCCGGAGGAGTCGTGGGGGGAGGGGGTGTCTTGGTTTGTTTCTGCGGGAAGCTTCGCGTTTTGAACCGTGTCGTTGACGCTGAGATCCTTGTACCCACTGTTGCCGAGAGCCCACGTCCCGCTGGTCCGAATCGTTTTCCTTCTACAGAAGTCGCCTTCTTTCTTTCAGAGACGGTGTGAGTAAAAATTGATCTCAAACTTTGAGGTTCATTTCAGTTGTTTGCCCGCTAAGACCAATTGTAGACTAATCTATTTGAAGCCCCCTTGGGTTTCTTTTTCGTGGTCGTTGGAAGTTTTAGAGAATGTAACTTTACATTGTATAATGGTTTGAAGATTTCAGGTTTTTTTGAGGTGCCGTGAATAGGAAAGATACAGACATGCACCTGGTATTTTAGTAATATGCTGGGTTTTTTTTTTTTTTAAATTAAAATAAAGGCATGGTTTCAGTGTTTTAAACCAAGGGTTATGTTTAAAACTAATGGACGAGCGATTTACATTACATAATCTACTTTTGGTAGTTCCAAGATGATCAGCTGGAATACTTAGTGTAATTGGTAGATAATCTGCTTTGCATTAAGTGCAATTGTTGAATATTTTAATAACATAGATGTTAAGAGTTTGTTTTATAGTGAAATTTGATCCTTTGATTTATAAACTTTTTAAATAGCAGCAATATGACTCTTGGTTATTCCCTTTTTCCCCTGAAATTTCTACTTTTCACAGTCAACAAGTATCTTTAAAAATTTTGATTTTACTCTTAACCTACTTTTTAGTAAAATAATAGGTAATTATTATATTCGACTCCTTTTCTAGAGGTAACACAGGAAATATGGCCTCTCACTTTTTATAAGGATTATAGTTATTTCCCTCAGGTCCTCTTGTGGCATCCACATTTGAAGTTAATTATGGGGAGACAGATTTATGAGGAAAAACTGCCCGAGTCAGGCCAATACGTTTGAGTATTTGAAAAATAAGCTAGTCGTCCTAAAGTGTGCTGCTTAGAAAAATTTCCAGTTACAGTCACTCACATCATATAGACCATGCAGAACTGGGAATTTGGAGTTTTTTTTTCTGCCGGTGTGAAGCACTCAGCTAGCTCCCAGGTTCTAATAGATAGAAATACAGACCAGGTCAGCAAACATCTTTGGAATTTTATTACTGACCTACAGTTTGTGGTGTCACGTCTGTGTGTCTAATCTGATTTATTCATGATTTGTGTTTATATTATACAGACTTTGGAGTAAAGGTGATGTATATGCCTAATGAATAATACGTAACCAGATGTTTCAGTGACGGTTTCATTTCTATACATTAGCAAAGAAGCATAATTTCTTACAGCGAGAGAAATGAGTTAACATTAAAACTCACTTTATTAAAATGATGGCAGTAAGTTAAGTATGACTTAAAGCACTTCATAGTTTTGTAATGACTCATTTATTAAATTCTGGAGAAACTTAAGAATGCATCATAGTTTGCAGCTTTTAAAAAAGGAAAATGAGATTACGTACTCTGCACACGTACAGATCCACAATTGGTTTTTAATTCGTGTTGTTTATTGCACACACTGTGGAAGTCAGACATTGTCATCAGACAATGGTTATTTAATTTCTTGATTGACTCATCTGACATCTTAGCTGTCATAGTAATTTATTGACTGTTTATTTGCATTTAACACTGAGTAAGTCTCCATATAATTTGGGGTACAAAGGTACGATAATATTTATACCGTCCATTCCTTAAAAGTCCAGATATCCAGACTGTTTGCCCACTGATCTTCTACCCTTTCTACCTAGTATGTCTACTGGATCTTCTGGTATTTCTTGTGGGAAGTGCAGTTTGATTGGTCTTAACAGATAATTCTGACTGTGGTAATGGGACTCTTGGCATTTAAGTAGAAGCTAGTGTTACCGTTTTGCCAGGTAGAAGCTAAGCGATGAGTCTCTGACCATAGGTGTTAAGAGCATAGGTGACTCGTTATCCAATTTTATGTTATGTGGAGCAACTTTAATCGAACTGGACATGTTCTTAATTCTTCTTTGCCTTATGGTTTTTAGGCAACTGAGGCAGAGTGGTATAATCGGGCTTGGTGATATTTCTTGTTGGATGCTCAGGAGCTATATACATTACTAAAAATTGTAAGATTTCTATTGCTTAAATTTACCATCTCCCATTTCAAGAATTAACATGTTTGCCATTTATCATAATTTTAAAAAATCAGTTTATCTGTATTAAGTACAATGGTTAAAAATTAGTTTTGAAATTAACTTTGGGTTAAATTTTCTAATGAGGGCATACTATTAAGTGAAGTAGCTGGCTAAATGAAAACATCTAAGCTTTTTGGTCATTTATTTTCAACAAATGTGTTACTTATGGGCTCTTCTGCAAGGGGGATTTTGTTTGTTTCTGTGCTATAGAGTGGAGTTGTATGAAGAGGTTAGATTTTGAAATCAATGCATAAAATGAAAATCATGTGTAGTAAAAAATGTCATGCTTGGAAATCCCTCAGGAAGGCAGAACAACATACCAATAAGTTCAGCTAAGCTTTTGTGTTGGAACAGATTGCTGTTTCTTTGAGCACTACATAAAGTAGTTAGCTTGAGTTTAGGGACCTTATTGAGCAGCAGGGGTGGGAGGGGGGCTGGGAGTGGAGCACATTTAAATGTAAGAATCAGGATCTCATTCCACACTGAGAGGATGTGAGAACTGGGACCACTGGGGAATAGCAGAGCAACTTTATTATTTCACATTATCTCTAGGTTATGAGCTACATTAAAGGAGGTGAGTGTGTGTGCTTGGAGTAACTTGTACTTTTAAAATTATTTCTCATTTTTTCTCTCATTTAAACAGTGTAGTAGTTTAAATCACAAAAGTTAAGTGATTTTTATGCTGCAGCTTAACAGAAGCAAGTTTAGAGTGTTTCAAGTTATCCTTTAGAAAATAGTTTTTATATATAAAATAACCCAAATTTTGTTTACTTTCCCCTTAAGTGAAGCAGCAGGATATCTGAGAACAGTTAGAATCATTGTGTTTTACGGTATAGTAGGGTCCAGTAGGAAAAACAGAGACTTTAGTAGGAATTTCAACAGAGAGGATTTAATACAGGGAATTGGTTAGATGGATGTTTAAAAAAAAAAGGGTGGTGGTAGGGAGGAACATTACAGTAACCAGAACCTAAGAGCTCAGAGAAGAGGTTCTATGGACCTGGTGCTGGACTTTTGAGTAGGTCAGCATTGTGCAGTTGGTGCTAGTACATATAAGGCATGTGTTGTTGCTGGTTCTGGGAGAACTACGAAAAGCTGGAGACTGGAACCATTTGCTGACTGCCAGGGTCAGGGGTGCAGTTGCTACTGACAGGAACTGGAAGGACGTTCTGTCACCCACCTTGCTGTTTTCCAGTTTTCATTTACTACTGCTATTGGCAAAGCCTAACGGGATCCCAGCTGGCAAAGGAGTTGGTGAAATATAGTTGCAGTCTTAGCCACAACAACATAGAGTCAGGGAGGGTAGTTTTGGAGTTGAGAGACAATAAGTAAATGATCTGGACGAATAGCTTAGGTTAAGAAGCAGTAATTTAAGTAGGGAATTCTGTGTTAACTTTACCTTTCAAAAAATATTTATCTTCTGTATGCCAGACCCTGTGCAAGGGATTAGGAATAGAAAAATGAATCAAACAAGGTCTTTGTCCTTGAGGAATTTATAGTGTAAGTGGCAATGACGAATAAACTACTGTACAGTGTTTTCAATGCAATAATACATGAGTAATATGTTTTGGGGGCCCAGAGGATGTAGCAACCAACTTGCCTCTTCTCTGCCTACCTAAACTTTATGACTACTCTTCTTATATTCTATCCTGATTAAATCGATTTCAGTTTTTCCAATTGCTGTGTTCAACTCAAATCCTGTGAAATCTTTTTCTTTTAGATGTTGCAATTTTGTCACATATCATCACCTTGTATTTCTCCCTACTTTTTTCATCTAGGTTATAAAGACCATTGCTTTCTATGCACTTTTAGCTTAGTACTGTGCACACAGATGCTTGAGAAATACTTGTTTTCTTCAGTGGCTAATGAAAATAAAATATTGATCATTACCTTTTTAGACATCACTTCTGCCTTCCAAGGTCATTAGAAAGTAGTTTGCGTAAAGTGTTACTTGATTTTGCAGATAGAAAAATTGAGAGAGTAAAATAATTAGTGAATTTAAACTCTATAGTACCAATAAGGGATTAAAAATGGGGCTTCGAATTTCTGATCAACTCTCTTTCAGAGCCAGCAATTTTGACAGGAATTTCTTTTTGATGGCTATATAAAATTGCCTCTCCTTCTTAGTATTTTATAAACTAATGTTCTCAATCTTAAGTTATTCTGATATGGGGTGAGTTCCCAAAAATAAAACATTACGTAGTTTCCTAATTGCTCACTCTTTCTTGTCTTTTTTTTCCTTCCTGTATTCATTATTACTACCTCTATTCGCTATTGAGAAATGTGCAAATCGACTGTACTTCATTTTGACTTCTTTTTAGAAGAGTATTCCGCTTGTTTCCCCCAGCATTCACACACCGTGTTGATTTACTTTAAAACCAACTAATTCACTTAAAAAAAAGATGTATGCCTCCATGCCAGTAATTGCATTAAACCCTCACTATTTACACTATTTGCTATATAGAGTCTTACTCAGTCTGGGATTGCTGTCTTGGAACCCAGCCAAATGTTTTCTGGAAGGCTTTACTTTATTAGAGAAGGGCTAGTATTGTGTGTAGTAAGTAGAAGGAGGTTCAGAATTGAATGCAGGAGACTTGGTTTCTAGGTCTGTTTCCACTACTAGCAAGATTCTTGGCCTTTCTGAGTCTATATTCTTTTGTTAAAAAAATTAAAAATGCCACCCTCACTGACCTTACAGATTATTTGAAAAGATATAAGAGGTAATGTAGGTAAAGGGGTCTTTGTAAAGAGTAAAGCACTTTGTAAGGGATGTATGTGAAGAAAGAAAAGTGAGAGTGAGATCCATTGGTCCCTGGCTTGAATCTTGGGGATGGGTTTGTGTCTACTTTCAAGTTCTTGAGTTTCTGTATTTAAAAAAGCGTTTAGGGTGGTAATGGGGTGTCGGAGGAGTTGTGGATGTCCTGTAACCCTGTTTTTCACAAGTCTGGTTGATAGTGTAGCATTTCGCCCCCTCTTAAATAATTGTCTTTTTTTTCATCTTTCGAAATTTGTTATCGAGGAGTAACAATTGTGTACAAAACTACACACCAATTTTTACATATATACATGTTTTATGTATATAAATATATATTAAGAAGTAGAACATTCTGTTACCCAGGAAAGTTTCAGTGTTAGCCTTCCCCCCTCAATCCTTTTTTCTCACGTATGACACTGCCCATTATTTACCTCTGTTTTTGATCTGACATCATGGAATATCTATTCTTCCTTCAGATCATTTCAGACTCATTCCTTCCTCCTATTCCTCTTCTAAGACCTTTCCTAATAACTTTAGCACTCTTGACCTCTCCTACCAATAAACCAGAAATATCCAAAGTAGGGGGCGTGCAACCCAGCATGTAACACACAGGTTCCTAGCACCACTATTCATGATATCCGAAAAAATGGAAGCAGTCCAGATGTCCACCAACAGATGAATGGATAAACCAAATATGGTGTAAACTTACAGTGGAATATTAATCAGCCACAAAAAGGGATAAAGTACTGACGAGACATGTTACAACATGGACAAATCTTGAAAACATGCCAAGTGAAAGAATTTAGTCACAAAAGGTCACACATTACATGAGTCCATTTCTGTGAAATATCCAGAATAGAAAAATCCATAGTGACAGAGTGCATATTGGTGATCGCCAGAGGTTTGGGAGATGGGGGAGAAACCACTCAACGGATAAGGGGTTTTACTTTGGAGTAATGGAAATGTTTTGGAACTAGGGGTTAGTGACTGCATGTGACTGTGAATGTACTAAATGCCAGCAAATGTTCAATTTAAAATGGTTCATTTCACCTCAGTAAATGTTTTGGTTTTTTTTTTTATTTATTTACTATTATTATTATTTTTGAGACGGAGTTTCGTTCTTGTTACCCAGACTGGAGTGCAATCAGCTCACCGCAACCTCCGCCTCCTGGGTTCAAGCAATTCTCCCGCCTCAGCCTCCTGAGTAGCTGGGATTACAGGCATCTGCCACCATGCCCAGCTAATTTTTTTTGTATTTGTAGTAGAGATGGTGTTTCACCATGTTGACCAGGATGGCCTCAATCTGTTGACCTCGTGATCCACCCGCCTTGGCCTCCCAAAGTGCTGGGATTACAGGCTTGAGCCACCACGCCCGGCCTCAGTAAATGTTTTAAAAAATGAAGTGATCATCGTTTCAGGTGAGCTGAAAAGTTAGAATGAGGCATAGGCTCCTTGAAATTTTGTGCCTTAAAGTGTTGGGCAAGTATCAGCTGGGGATGCTGAAGGAAGGAACAACCAGAGCGTCAGCAAGTGTGGCTTCAAAGCTCTGCCTCAAGTAATGATGATGGTGATGATAATGAGAGACGGCTATAATACAGCTACAATGCTTAATATGAGCCAGGCACTGTTCCAGGTACTTTACATCTAAAACTTGCTAAATCCTTACAACTCTGAGGTGTTATGACATCACATTTCCATTATGGACAAGGAAACTGAGGAATTAAGAAGTTTAAATGATGTCTCCAAGACACAGATAAGGAAATGACAAAGTCCAGATTTGAACCTAGGCAAGCCAGGCTCTAGACATTGACGTCTCAGCCACCAGGCTCTGCACTAGGAACTCTACAGGTTTTATCTCATTTAATCCTTTATTAAGGAAGGTGTTATTATTATTATTATTCCCATAAAAAAAATCCCTCTCATGGTCTTCCCACATTCTGTACCTTCTAGTTTTTCCCCTACATTTATTTTTTTGTTGATCCACATACTCCTGTCATTATTACCTCACTTGGCTTCATTTTTCTTTTTTCCTTTTTTTTTTTTTTTTTTTTTTTAAGAAACAGCGTCTTGCTGTGTTGCCCAGGCAGTAAGGCAATCATAGCTTACTGTAGTTTCCTACTCTTGGACTCAAGTGATTCTCCTACCTTAGCCTCCTTTGTAGCTGTGATTATAGGAGTGTACCACATGCACACTAATTTTCTGACTTTTTTCTTTATTTTTGTAGAGGCAGGGGTCTCACATTGCCCATGTTGGTCTTAGACTCCTGGTCTCAAACAGTCCTCCCACCTTGGCCTCTCAAAGTGCTGGGATTACTACCACATCTAGCCTGAATTTTATTATTTATATTTTCTTTTAGTCTCCCATTACTAGAAGGCAGGAATTTTAATTACTGTTGATTTTCCAGTATCCAAAATAATGTGTGGTACATAATAGGCTCTCTACAAATATCTAGAAGGAATAGTGCACGTGACATTAAGTAGTATTAGGTAGGCATCTTGTGTGCCTGTATTTGAATAAATAAGACCATATAATATATAATGTTCTGCTTTTTAAACTTAATGTCTTGGATTAAAAAGAAAAAAAGGCAGTACCTCGATGTTGCTCTTTCCTGGATGGTTGATGATATCCTGATTGGATATAGCAGCTTCTCTTAACTGGTTTCCTATTAATCTGCATTCCTCCCCCCCAGTGTTTGTTCAGCATGCAAACAATATGGCATTAAACATCTTCACAAATTAATTACTTTTTGTGTATATGTGTACTTACTTCTTTAGAACTAGTGCCTGGAAGTGAAACTGTGGGGAAAAAGGATAGAAATACACTTGTAAAATGTCTGTAGGTAATGCCAGGTTTTGCTCATTATCCACTCCCGGTAGAGCTGCTAGGGCACGCAACAGGTTTCAGTATGACTTGGACCAAACTGGATATTATCATTCTAACTTTCTGCTAATCTGATGGGGGACAACGAACCCCCATTTTATAAGGAAATGGCGGCTTCAGTTCAGGGACTGTCCACGTAACTAGCAAGTGGCAAAGCCGTGATTTGACTCAGAAGTGACTCCGGAGAGGACACATCAAAGCTGGACGCTGTATTCTGTGTTCTGGGGCGCCTCTGGTGATCGCTGGGCCTTACAATGCTGGCAGGCAGGCCTTTCTTTCCGATCTAGGCCTCGGGCCCCTCCCAGCCTGCCGAAAGCGGCTCTTCTCCATTATGAATGCCTTTCCGGAGAGTGGGTTCCTCAGCTCTGAAATGGCGGCCGCCTGGATCCCGAGGCCACACCCGTGGAGGCAGGACCTAAGTTCCTAAATAATTGTCTTTAAATATTGACAGGGCGCCTCAATTTCTTTTTCCTTTTTTTCTCTCTTTCCTTTTTTTCTTTTCTTTCTTTTTTTTTTTTTTAAAAGACAAGGTCCCTTTCGCCGAGGTTGGAGTTCAGTGGCGCGATCTCAGCGCACTGCAATCTCCGCTTTCCGGGGTCAAGGAGTCCTCCCACCTCAGTCTCTTGAGTAGCTGGGACCACAGACGCCCACCGCCACACGCGGCTATTTTTCTTCTATCTTTGATTACAGACGCGGTTTCGCCATGTTGCCCAGGCTGATCTTGAACTCCTGAGCACCAGCAGTCCACCCGCCTTGGCCTCACCGAGTATCAGGATTACAGGTGTGAGCCAGTGTGCCCGGCTGTTTCTTTTCACCAGGTTTATATGTGTTGATTATATAATGAGAGAACACCTCAAAAGTTTCCTTACACAAGTAGGAACAAAACTATCACTCTGCAGATTATTTAAATGACAAGGGCCTGAGGGAGTAGGGAAAGCATGCTGTACGGCTCTAGTGTCTTTTATCCAAGATCCTGAGAACCAGAAGTATGTTGGATTTCAGATTTTTTTTCCCGGATTTTGCAATATTTGCATTTTACTTACCAGTTGAGCATCACTAATTAAAAAATCTGAAATCTAAAATGCTCCAGTGAACATCTTTTTAGCGTGACTTTTTGAGTATCATGTCCATGTACAAATAGGTTTAGATTTTCTTATTGGGGTGCTAAACCTGTATTGCTTATTTTGGCCAGAAATTACCCACGTAGTGTCTTGTCCTCTCCTCTCCTCTCCTCCTCTCCTCCTCCTCACATGGAGTATCACTCTGTTGCGCAGGCTGGAGTGCAGTGGCATGATCTCTACTCACTGCAACCTCCGTCTTCCGGGTTCAAGCGATTCTCCTGCCTCAGCCTCCCAAGTAGCCGGGATTATAGGTGAGTGCCACCACACCCAGCTGATTTTTTGTATTTTTTATATTTTTTAGTAGAGACCGGGTTTTGCAATTTTGGCCAGGCTGGTCTCGAGCTCCTGACCTTGTGATCCGCCCACTGCAGCCTCACCAAGTGCTGGGATTACAGTGGTGAGCCACTGTGCCCAGCCTGTTGTTTTTAAATTTAGATGGAGTGTCACTTTGTTCCCCATGCTGGAGTGCATTGGTGAGATCTTAGCTCACTGCAGCCTCGCCTCCCAGGTTCAAGCGATTCTCCTGCCTCAGCCTCCAGAGTAGCTGGGATTACAGGCACCTGCCACCAGGCCCAGCTAATTTTTGTATTTTGAGTAGAGATAGGGTTTCACCATGTTGGCCGGGCTGGTCTCAAACTCCTGATGTCAAGTCATCCATCCACCTCAGCCTCCCACACCTAGTGCTGGGATTACTAGGTGTGAGTCTCTGTGCCTGGCCTGTAGTTTTGTTTTATACGAGAGTTATATCAAATTCAGAAAATCTCTGCTTTTATAAATTTACTTGGCAAGATTGGAAGTTGTATCTGTTGTTTAATTTTAATGAACCTATCCTTTTGTCCTTGATCTTAAAATTTTTAGCATATTTGTGAAGAAAACAGGGCTCGTTGAATTCTTGCAAAGGTGCTTTTTAAAAAACATATATAACTGTGAGGTACTGTCCTCTAGGAACGTTTCCTTAAAATTGTATGTTTTTAAAGGCTGTCAAATGTTAAATTACTATCTAGAATAGTAAGACTAAATTTCTTTATTCTTAATGTTATTAGAATTGTTACAATTGTGTTGAACTATAGGTTCCATTTATCAGTTTGTGTTACTTTGATAATTTCTTAGTGCCGTCTCCTGAAATGTTTTTTTTCTGTTCTCCATTACTTTAAAAATAATATTATAGTTGTGTATAATGTAGATAACATTGTTAATACCAGTTTAATTTGTTATGAAACCTTTTGAGTAATCTTTGAAATAATTGATTTAGGAAAATTAAGACAATATTGGTGTGCCAGTGAGAAAAATTTTACAAGATAAATTATCCATCATTTTTTTTTTTCTCTTTTTTTTTTAAGAGACAGGGCCTCCCTCTGTTGCTCAGACTGGAGTGTAGTGGCATGATCATAGCTCACTGCAGCCTTGAGCTCCTGGGCTTGGGGAATCCTCCCAACTTAGCTTCCTGAGTAGGTAGAACTATAGGTGTGCACCATCATACTTGGCTAATTTATTTTTTTTATTTTTAAAATTTTTGTAGAGACAGGGTTTAGCTGTGTTGCTCAGGCTGGTCTCAAACTCCTGGTCTCAAGTGATCTTCCCTCTTTGGCACTCCTCCTCCCAGAGTGCTGGGATTACAGGTGTGAGCTACTGCACCTGGCCTGTCATTCATTTCTTAAATGGATTGTTTTTATTTTTAATCTCTATGTTTAATATGTTGCTTAGTCCTTTTGGAAGTAGTTTTTAGAGCTAGGAATCAGGGAAAATACATAAATGACTTAAATTATCTTTGAATAAAATATTGTAATAGTATTCAGTGTTGCTTTATTCATTTTTAAAATTTATTTTTTAAGTTTAGGAAATTGAAGAAGTGGGAAAAATCATGCTTTCAGTACTTAATCGCTATTACATTTTGCTCTTTTGGAAATAAATTTTAGATTTTGGGTTTATTTTGTTTAAAACATACTTTCAACTGTATTTTACATGTAGATTTAAATTTATGTTCGTTTTAAAATCTAGCCTGGGTGCAGTGGCTAACACCTGTAATCCAGCACTTTGAGAGTCAAAAGCAGCGGGATCACTTGAGACTAGAAGTTCAAGACCAGCCTGGGCAACATAATGGAAACTTGTCTCTATAAAAAAGGAAAATAAACAAAATTAGCTGAGTGTGGTGGTGCACACCTGTAGTCCCAATTACTATGTAGGCTGACATGGACGGATTGCTTGAGCCCAGGAGTTTGAGTGAGCCATTATCACACTGCTGCATTCTAACCTGGGCAACCCTGTCTCAGAAACAATAATAATAATAATAAAATCTAAACATCATTAACATTTTCTATGCCATAGCTAGTTAACATTTGTAAGATTACATAATATTTCAGGTGTATGAACCATATTGTATTTAACCATTTCCTTGTGTTTAGATTATAAGATTCCTTTTAGATTTGCATTTATGTTAATGATAAGGATGTCCATTATTCATGTGGCAATGGGATGGAAGTAAAGCAGTAACTGTTGTCCCTGTAGGTTTACCTTTCCGAGAATGAATCTGTAACTGTCTTTAATGGCAGTAGCTTCTTGTGCAGTAGAGTTGAAGAAAATGAAGAAGGAATAAAAGAAGATAGCCCATTTCCCCATTTAGACTTGATAATTCTTTTTTAGGTACTGTAGAGCAGATGTTCTTGACCTTCAGTTCAGGAATCTCTAAGGATCCCTGAATATAGTCACCCCTCTGTATTCATGGTTTCATATACTTGGATTCAATAAACTGCAGATGGAAAAATACTCTTGAGGAAAAAAAAAACAATAAAAAATAACAGTACAACAGTTTAAAAATAATACAAGGCCGCACTTTGGGAGGCTGAGGCAGGCAGATCACAAGGTCAAGAGATCGAGGCCATCCTGGCTCCAACATGGTGAAACCTCGTCTCTACTAAAAATACAAAAGTTAGCTGGGTCTGGTGGCACGCGCCTGTAGGCTGAGGCAGGAGAAACACTTGAACCTGGGAGGCAGAGGTTGCAGTGAGCCGAGATTGCACCACTGCACTCCAGCCTGGTGCCAGAGCAAGACTCGGTCTCAAAAAAAATAAAAATAAATAAATAAATAAAATAATACTAATAATACAAATTTTTGGCCAGGCAAGGGAGCTCATGCCTATAATCCCAGCACTTAGGTGGATGGATCACTTGAGCCCAAATATTTGAAACCAAGGTTGGCAACATGGTGAGACCCTGTCTCTACAAAAAATACAAAAATTAGCTGGGCTCGGTGATGTGCACCTGTAGTCTCAGCTACTCAGGGGGCCTAGGTGGGAGCATCACCTGAGCCTGGGGAGGTCGAGGCTGCAGTGAGCCTTGATTGCGCCACTGCACTCCAACTTTGGTGACAGAGCGACACCCCATCTCAAATAATAATAGTATTATAAATTCTAAAAATGCAGTCTAGGCCAGGCAAGGTGGCTCACGCCCATAATCCCAGTACTTTGGGAGGATCACAAGGTCAAGAGATAGAGACCATCGTGGCCAACATGATGAAATCCCGTCTCTACTAAAAATACAAAAAAAATTAGCTGGGCATGGTCTGTACCTGCAGTCCCAACTACTTGGGAGGCTGAGGCAGAATTGCTTGAAACCGGAAAGTGGAAGTTGCAGTGAGCTGGGATCGCGCCACTGCACTCCAGCCTGCCGATAGAGCATGACCTCATCTCAAAAAAAAAAAAATTGCAGTCTAGCAACTAGTTACATAGCATTTATGAGGTACTGTAAGTAATTTAGAGATGATTTAAAGAATGGGGAGGATGTGTGTAGGTTATGGAAATACTACCCCATTTTATGTAAGGAACTTGGACATCTGTGGTTTTTGGTGTCTCTGGTCACTGGGCATCTTCAGAACCCCATGGATACTCAGGGAGGATTGAGTATATGTATGTGTATGTATATTTATTCTTATTAACAGCTTTACTATGGGACTTTCTCATCTCTTCTTCAGATTATTGCACAGATTAGGATTCTTGACTTTCTCAGATCCATCCTTTACTGTTGCCAGAGGTGATCTCTTCATCATTGCGCTGTGGATCTTTCTTGACACCTTTGTATTGCTTTCTAGGTCTCGCTGATCTAGTTCACATTTAAATTCTTTAGCCTCACCCCGTGCTGGGGCTGTACTCCCTACTTTTTTTTCCACTCATTTAATAGTGAACTACTTGGAGTTTCCCAGACATGCTATGCTGAGTATACCTTTCTCCTTATTATGTTGGTTCTTCAGGACTGCTTTCCTTCCTCACAGTGTTATGTTGGCTAACTTGCACTTAACCTTAAATTCTTCCTCCAAGGATGAGTCTCTTTCTCCAGGAAACATTTTCTGATTTCTCCTCTCCCGTTTGATTGCTTATTTCTGCTTTTTTAGCATTTATCAAATCGTATTGAAAACATGCGCAGGGAGTGTCCACCTCAGTAGTTAATACATTCTTGGAGGTTCTCATTTTCTATCACGTGATAGCTCATTAAATGTTTTCCTAAGTTGCTGAACTCAACTGGTTTCCATTATGGATCAGTTAGCGTCTAATATGGGTATGCAAAGGGACAGAAAGAAAATAAGGCTGCTGCTGTTATAATTAGTGTTGACTCATATTAGACAGTGATAGGTGTATCTTGAAATCTTAAAAACAGATTAAATTGGGCTATTAAAGTATCTCTGTCTTTGCTGGGGGCAGGGGTAGTGTTAGAGGAGATGAGATAGTGATGGGTGATGGGAGAAATGTGGTAGGAAGCACAGAACACACTAAATTATTTAGATCTACATTTTTAGGGGAAGCTCTAAAAATCTTAAAAACATGTATTTTCCTTGTAACACAGCTTTGTCTAGAAATGTTAAGTTTATTACTGGTATTCAAAAAATTAAGACCAGATAATGAAGATTTGGCAAGTCACCTTTGAATGCTTCCTATTGTGTGTGCACAGTGTGGAAAAGATATAATTCAATTAGGAATTGGTATTGCCTTTTTAAATAAAGAAGCTATTAGGTTACCAAAAGTAATTTAGATAAGTATTCCAGATGTTTAGTACAGTGACAAGCTTTTCAATAAGGAACACTTTGTGTCTTTAGAAGCTTACAGAAATTAGTGTCTGTCTGACAGCTGTAGTTTTAGATTGAACTGCTGAAAGTGTTTTTATGTGGTGATAGTTACTGCAGGCAGTGTTATGATGGCAGTTGGATTGCTTACTCAGAATTTATTATTGCTCCTTGGTTTTCCTAGTCTTGAGTAAATTTCTA